CAATGATACTTTTAGCACCATCAAATAACAACATCTGCCTATCCCAGATGCTTGGGAAGGACTCAATGGGTGGATAAGAATGTCAAATCGAGTCAAAACATCTGGCTGACTGTGGAACCAACAATATGATAATGATGATTATGATAATAATAATAATAATAATAATAATAATAATAATAATAATAATAATAATAATAATAATAATGGACTGGCCTGGAATGGAATGGAATGGAATGGAATGGAATAGAATAGAATAGAATAGAATAGAATAGAATAGTTGGAAGGGACCTTGGAGGTCATCTAGTCCAACCCCCTGCTCAGGCAGGAAACCCTATACCATTTCAGACAAATGGTTACCCAATCTCTTCTTTAAAAGCTCCAGTGGTAGAGCACCGACAACCTCCGGAGGCAGGTTGTTCCACTGATTAATTCTTCTAACTGTCAAGAAATGTCTCCTTAATTCCAGGTTGCTTCTCTCTTTGGTTAGTTTCCATCAGTTGCTTCCTGTCCTGCCTTCAGGTGCTTTGGAGAATAGCTTGACTCCCTCTTCTTTGGGGCAGCCCCTGAGATACTGGAACACTGCTATCCTGTCACCCCTCATCCTTCTCTTCATTAAACTAGACATACCCAATTGCAGAAACCGCTCTTCATATGTTTTAGCCTCCTGTCCCCTGATCATCTTTGTTGCTCTTCTCTGCACACTTTCTAGAGCAGTGATGGCGAACCTTTTAGAGACCGAGTGCCCAAAAACTGCCCCCCGCTCTGCCCCCATTCCCTGCCTTGCCCCCACTCTGCCCCCCCTGCCCCGCCTGCCCACAGGACCACTCACCGCCTCCAGGGCCCGTCGCAGATCGCCCAGGCAGCCCAGCAGCGCTATGGCGGCCACACCCTCTGCCTGCACCCTGCAGCATCAACTTCACGATGGGGTGTGAGGGCAGAGTCTTATCTACGCTGCCTGGCTGCCATGTCCTTGGCTGCGCTGCTCTGTGCAGGCCACGCTCAGGGGCGACTCTCCTTCAGGGGGGCTGCTGGAGAGGAGGGGGTTGCGGGGGGAGGCAAGGCTGGGGCAGTGGCACGCGTGCCCACAGAGAGGGCTCCGAGTCCCGCCGCTGGCACCTGTGCCATAGGTTCGCCACCACTGTTCTAGAGTCTCAATATCTTTTTTACATCATGGTGACCAAAACTGGATGCAGTGTGGCCTTACCAGGATATTATAAAATCGTATTAATAATAATAAACAAGCATGATATTTCCTCCTTAATTCTGAGGTTTGATCCAGCCCACATTTCACTCACTTCCCGATTTTGCTATGAGGAATAATTATATTTCCAGTTCCTTAATAGAAGTCAAGAGTTCAACCATAGGTCTCCTGGTGTTTGGGGTTACCGTTCCGAGTAATAACTACCTCACATGCATTCTTTTCCACTTCCTATATTTTATTAAAAGCTCATAAATGTGTTTTAAAACCAACAGCTGCCGAGACAACATTAATGTTTTATAGAGAATCTAATTTAAATAACGTCAGGCATGAACAATCAGATCCACCTGTCAAGGTTTCAATTTATTGCTTTATTGCATACAGGAATCTTCTTAGTTTAACAGTTTGCACCTGGGTAAAACTAGGAAGTTGTCCTCTTGTGACTCTGTAGAGCAGACATGTCAAACACAAGGCCTGGGGGAGAGGATGCGGCCCGTAATGTGGTTTCATGCGGCCCGCGAAGCCATCCTGGAAACAGTGAGGGAATGGCCCCCGCTGCCTTGGCCCTGGCCCAGGCCAGCCGGTAGCCAATGTACAATTTTGTGGTGGCCATCTATGCTGAAACGCATTCAGTCTTAGCTCCACAAGGCCGTCCGGAAACAGCGAGGAACCAGCCCCTGCTGTGTCGGCCCTGCCCCCTGGGTGCATGCTGGGGAGGGGTCACCCTTTGTGAGGAATGAAGAAATGGACCATCGCCTGGAAGTGGTCCTGGTCCCACCCCCCCCTCTGCCAGAGCCCCTCAGATCTGTCCCACTCCTGCCCAGGCCCCCACAGGCACCCTTGACGCGAACGATGTAGAGCTGGCCGTGCCCACCCAGTAGGCACACCCACTCCAGCCGTGCCCACCTAGTAAGCAGTGCCCACCCTGGCCACACCTACCTGCCCCCCCCCGAGGACAACCGCAATGCTGATGCGGCCCTCAATGAAATTGAGTTTGACACCCCTGGTGTAGAGACTCTAAACCCGTGGTGGCGAACTTATGGCACATGTGCCACAGGCGGCACACAGAGCCCTCCCTGTGGGCACGCGTGCAGTCGCCCCAGTCCTAGGCCTTCAGCTGGGTTTTTATAAAACCTTTTCGCTTTAGGCCTCGCTGCCGTGTGCAAAAAAAAAAAAAGGTTCAATCAATCAATTTCAACTTCTTGCGGGGAAAAAAAAAGATCTCGCAAAGTTGGAATTGATTGATTGAACTTTTTAGTCCCACCCAGTCTGCCGTTACCACCGCAGCCACGCCCACCCAATGGGCCACACCCACCCGGTACCCAACGATACATAAGCGGGTTTTGGGTTGCAGTTTGGGCACTCGGTCTCTAAAAGGTGCGCCATCACTGCTCTAAACTAATTCCCCGCTTGACTCCACCCCCTCTCAATCTCTCTCCAAATGCTAGCTCTCCTGTATCTCCACCCCTGATTCTGGGAGCGTCTCGCTAATGGACCACACGCCTCCCTTGCCATTTTGCGACTCGGCTGTCTGACGTGTCTTGTTTTTCATTCCCTTTCAGTCCCAAACTCAGGTAGAAGAGGAAGAGGAAGGTGATGATGACGAAACAGAGGAGCTGGGTCACACAGAGACGTACGCCGATTATATCCCTTCCAAATGTGAGTGGGTCAAACTCCCGGACGTGCTGTTTCTGCTTTCCGGATTAGCAAATCTGCTCCCAAGCATTTTCTTATGGGGGGGGTATAGTCCAGTCTTCCCCTGCTTGGTGCTCCTAGATCTGTTAGGCTTCACTTCCCAGAATCCTCAAAGCAGCAAAGCTGTGGCAATTTTAGGAATCGAAATTTAATCTTTCTACAGCAAGGTTTCCCAACCTTGGCCACTTTAAGACATCTGGACTTCAACTCCCAGAATTCCCCAGCCAGCCACGCTGGCTGGGGAATTCTGGGAGTTGAAGTCCCTGCTTCTTAAAGTGGCCAAGGTTAGGAAACCCTGCTGTTCCAGCAACCAACGGAATGCTGGGGTAATGCTGTGTTGTTCAGCTTCCCGACGCTGCAAATACTTGAAGCCTAAACTACGTGGGTGATAGAGGGTGGGGTAGTATGTATGAGTAGGAAATTCCCCAGAACTCCTTACAACCATATCACCATTTCCCTCTTAGTGTATCTGTAAACAGGATAACCATAAATGCTTCCTTGGTTTCAACACGATAGCAGCATAACAAGGGACAATGAAACCAGTGATTCAGTCACAACCTGTTCTGGAGAGGCTAGATATGCCTTGATTAAGATTCTTTACTTTTGACTCCGCGCGGAGCAGAAGGCTGGACTCCACAGCTGCAGGAATTCCTTTCCATCTGTAGGATTTGGTGATGCAGAGAAGTAGGCCTAGGGCAGTGGTTCTCAACCTTTTTAATGCCGCGACCCCAACCGGTCATAAGTCGAGGACTAAACCGGTCGTAAGTTGAGAACTAAACCGGTCGTAAGTTGAGGACTACCCAACCGGTCGTAAGTCGAGGACTTTCCCTGCCCGGGAGCACCACGCATGCATGGTTCCGCCCCCTGCGCCGGCCAAGGCGTAGCTGGCAAGCGGCAGAGACGGAGCAGGCCGACCACCAGCTGGCCCAGCCCAAGGGAGGTAAGGCACCCGCCGGAAAAGGGGGAAAAAATGGCGGAAAAAAAAAATGGCGGACAGCCTTGCTTGGCGACCCCCATGAAATGGTCGATCGACCCCAAATGGGGTCCCGACCCACAGGATGAGAACCACTGGCCTAGGGCAAGGGTAGGCAACCTTTGCTCTTTTATGACTCGTGGACTTCAACTCCCAGAATTCCTGAGTCAGCCATGCTGAGGGGAAAGGGAGAGGTTTCCATGCTGAGCCATGCTGGCTCAGGAATTCTGGGAGTTGAAGTCCACGAGTCATAAAAGAGCCAAGGTTGCCTACCCCTGGTCTAGAGTCAACAAGAGGCCCCCCCCAATCTCGTTCTGTCCCATGTGATTGCCTTTGAGTAGACTCACACACGTTGGGCAAAGTCAAAAGTGTGGCTTGCATGAATTTGACCTGCTGTATTGTGTGAAACTAGTCGTTTCTGGCTTGCGAAATGTGGCAAAGATGGACAGCGTGGGAAGGTTGGTGAAAGGAAGGCAGAAAGGCTTTCAGACCTTCTGTAGACCTCACTGGAGATGGTGAGGCTGAATTTCAGGGATCCATTTTTGGAGGGAGAACTAGTTTAGAGTAGGAATTCAGGTTGTTGTTGTTAGCTGCGAAGTCATGTCTGGCCCATCGCGACCCCATGGACAATGTTCCTCCAGGCCTTCCTGTCCTCTACCATCTTCTGGAGTCCATTTAAGCTCACACCTCCTGCTCCAGTGACTCCATCCAGCCACCTCATTCTCTGTCGTCCCCTTCTTCTATTGCCCTCAATCTTTCCCAGCATCAGGTTTTTCTCCAGTGAGTCTTTTCTCCAGTGAGTCCTTCCTTCTCATTAGGTGGCCAAAGTACTTGAGTTTCAACTTCAGGATCTGGCCTTCTAAAGAGCCGTCGGGGTTGATCTCCTCCAGGACTGACCGGTTTGATGGCCTTGCAGTCCAGGGGACTCGCAGGAGTCTCCAGCACCATAGTTCAAAGGCCTCAATTCTTTGGCGCTCAGCCTTTCTTATGGTCCAACTTTCACAGCCGTACATTGCAACTGGGAAAACCATGGCCTTGACTATATGTACTTTTGTTGGCAGGGTGATGTCTCTGCTTTTTAGTATACTGTCTAGATTTGCCATAGCTTTCCTCCCCAGGGGCAAGCGTCTTTTAATTTCTTGGCTGCAATCCCCATCTGTGGTGATCTTGGAGCCCGGGAAGATAAAATCTGTCACTACAGGTAGTCCTTGATTAACAACCACAATCGAGCCCAATATTTCCGTTGCTAAGCGAGACAGTTGCTAAGCGAGACAGTTTTGTCCACCCCTTTTACGACCTGTCTTGCCAGAGTTGTTAAGAGAAATTGTTGCAGCTGTTAAGTTAGTGACATGGTTGTTAAGTGAATCTGGATTCCTCCTTAACTTTGATGGTCGGACAGTCACAAAAGGGGATAGTTATAATCCTGGGACACTGCGACCGTCATAAAGATGAGCCAGTTACCAAGCATCTGAATTTGGATCACACGATCATGGGGATGCTGCAGCGGTCGTAAGTGTGAAAAAGTCAGGTCGCTTTTTTCAAGGCCACTGTCACTTCAAACAGTCACTAAATGAATGGATGTCAGTCAAGGACCACCTGTATTGTGTTGTCAGGCAGGATAGACCAGGTCCGCACATAGATTCAGTTAAACTGATTTATTGCTAAAAGCCTATGCCAATGGTGGCGAACCTATGGCATGCATGCCAGAGGTGGCACTCAGAGCCCTCTCTGTGGGCACGCGTGATGTAGCCCCAGAAATGGCAACTGTCCCTCTTCAACCAGCCCCCGCTAATTCGCTGAGGTCCCATGTGGCCGGATGCATCCCAGCATGGCTGGTTTCCCTCCCTCCCGTCCCATCCCTCCTGGCCTCGCACACTCTCCTTTTCCCGGGCATGACCCACTGCATCGCCTCCTCAGCTGTCAGCCGGCTGTCCAGCTCAGAGGTGGCTTCTCTGAACTGCTGGCGGCGGGCTGTGGAGCCCCAGAATATGCCAATCGAGGGGCCAGCAGGCTGTGGCTGCTGATGGACACTGTCGGCCCCCATGTGCTCGCTGGCCTCTGTGTGTGGGAGCCAATGGTGTCAGGAAGCAGCCACCCCGACCCCTGCCTCACCTTGCCCTGCGACAATGGCACCCCCGCCCTGCCTCGCCTCGCCTTGCCTTGCCTCACCCCACAGGACGAGCCTCCTGCCCACTGGCCCACCTGCCAGAGACCCCCTGGATCTCCCCCAACCCTGCCCGGCCCCCACAGGCATCCCTCCCCACGAGCAACATCAAGGTGACCTTGCCCACCTTGGCCACACCCACCCAGTCTGCCATTACCACCACAGCCACGCCCACCCAGTGGGCCACGCCCACCTGGCACCCGGCGATAAATAAGTGGGTTTTGGGTTGCAGTTTGGGCACTCAGTCTCTAAAAGGTTTGCCATCACTGGCTTGTGCCCAAGAACCTTCTCAACGAAGGGTTAACGCCTGCTTGGAGTTTACAAAATGGTGCATGGAATTCAAGGGAATTTGGCCTTCGTCCGCTTGTGACTATGTAAGGATTCTAGGCTGATTCCTCTTTTAACTCCGACCCCAGGTCCTCCCACTCCCTTCTCCTAGTTACACTCGGATCCCGTCATTCTTACAAGTCAACACATCCTCCTTTCCCTGCTGAGTGAATCCTGGCTAAGGACCCCAAACCCCTACTCAAATAGGGCTTTCATGGGATTGCTGGCTTGTTTGCTCTAATACGGCCTTTGACCCTTTGCAGAGAACTTCAATTTCTCCCGAGAAGCTGAGTAACATTCAAAAACAGCTGACACGTGTCTTTTTTTTGCTTCGTCCGGCAGCGAAAATTGGGAAGCAGCACCCTGACCGGGTGGTAGAAACCAGCACGCTTTCCAGTGTCCCTCCTCCAGATATCACCTACGTCCTCTCTCTCCCCGACTCGATTGCCGAAAACGGGTCGCTCTCTGCACTGCAGCTGGAAGCTATAATTTACGCCTGCCAGGTACACGCGAAGTGGGTTTGGGCAGGTCTGATGAGACAGGGGTAAGGTGGGTCGTAAGCTTCAGAGGGGCTGAAAGTGGCTACCGTAGTGCATTCTTCGCTTGATTCCTCCGTTTGATTCCTTTCTGCCCGGATTTCTAGGAACACGAAAACTTACTTCCAAACGGGCAGAGAGCCGGCTTCCTAATAGGAGACGGTGCGGGTGTAGGGAAAGGGCGGACCGTTGCAGGGATCATCTATGAAAATTATCTGAAGGGAAGGAAGAAGGCTCTGTGGTGAGTGACCCAGGTCCCCGTGTTCTGTTTTAAAGCTCTCATAAATTGCATTTAAATCTCTTCTGGACTCCGTATTGCTTTCCCAGTTTATTGGATCCTCAAGACTTAGTTCAAGACTTAGAATTTGAGTAGCTGTTCTATAATAATAATAATAATTCTCTCTCTCTCTCTCTCTCTCTCTCTCCCCTCCCTCCCTCTCTCTTTCTCTTTCTTTCTCTCTGTCTCTCCCTTTCTCTTTCTCCCTTTTTCTTTCTCTCTCTCTCTCTCCCCCTCCCTCCCTCTCTCTTACGTTCAGTTGTGTCCGATACTTTTTGCATTTTCTTGGCAAAGTTTTTCAGAAGTAGTTTGCCATTGTCTGGTGTAAGGTTTCCTGCCTGAGTAGGGGGTTGATGACCTCCGAGGTCCCTTCCAAGTTTAATATTATTATTATTATTATTATTATTATTATTATTATTATTATTATTATTATTATTATTATTATTATTATTTCTCCTATGGTCCGGGCTCACATTCCTACCACTTTTTCTGACTCTTGCAACCCCCCTGAAATTGTGATGTCAAATCCTTAAGTACGACTGGTGAGATTTCCTATTAGAGTGTGCTGGGAAACTGAAGAGATAAGAGTTGGGAGCAGCCAGAGCTAGCAAAGGGCCTCAGGAACTCTTGCCAGTTGCTTCTCCCCACTTCTGTAATCTCCCAGCTGCCTCCAAGTGTTGAAGTGATGTTTTTAAAAAGGAGTTTCCACGGGGGAACAGACGAGTGAGTCACAAGGGGCTCCTCTAAGTTTAATGAAATAAATACAGCTAGCCCTCAACTTACAACAGTTCATTTAGCAATCGTTCAGAGTTACAACAACACTGAAAAAAGTGACTCGTGACTGTTTTTCACACTTAATGACCGTTGCAGCATCCTCATGGTCACGTGATCCAAATTTGGACGCTTGGCAACTGGCTCCATGTTTATGACGGTCGCAGTGTCCTGGGCTCACGTGATCCCCTTTTGCGACCTTCTGTCGAGCAAAGCCAACGGGGGAAGCCAGATTCATTTAACAGCCGTGTTATCAATTTAACAACTGCAGTTTTACCCTTAACAACTGTGGCCAGAAAGATCGTAAAAATGAGGTGAAATTCATTTAATGGATGTCTCACTTTGCACAGAGGTTTTGGGCTCAGTTGCGGTCTTAAGGCAAGGACCGCCTGTAAATGAAAATGTTGTACTTGATGGGCCAGTAAAATGGCTTCCTTTATACATTTCTCCCTCTCCACCCCCACCCCCCCTTTTCAGGTTCAGCGTCTCCAATGATCTGAAATACGACGCCGAGAGGGACCTGAAGGATATCAATGCGCCTAACCTTCCTGTCCATGCTTTAAACAAGGTATGGGGCTTTCTTTTGCTATCTCTATCTCTATATATCTATATCTCTCTCTATATATATATCTCTATCTCTAAATCTGTCTATCTATCTCTATCTCTATATCTATCTTTATATATCTATATCTATCTATATCTATCTATAACTATATCTATCTATCTATCTATCTGTGTCTGTCTATCTCTCTCTCTCTCTCTCTCTCTCTCTCTCTCTCTATCTATCTATCTATCTATCTATCTATCTATGTCTATCTATCTCTATATATCTATATCTATATCTCTCTATATATATATCTATATATCTCTATATATCTCTAAATCTGTCTATCTATCTTTATCTCTATCTCTATCTACCTTTATATATCTATATCTATCTCTCTATCTATCTATAACTATATCTATCTATCTATCTATCTATCTATCTATCTATCTATCTATCTATCTATCTATCTATCTATCTATCTATCTATCTATCTATCTGTGTCTATCTATCTCTATATATCTCTAAATCTGTCTCTGTGTCTGTCTCTGTCTCTCTCTCTCTCTCTCTCTCTCTCTCCCTACCTACCTACCTACCTAAAACACACACATACACACACCATGGGAAAAGCTGACTGGGACCACTGAGAACGTGGCACAAGATATTTGCCTATATTTATTCTTGTTACTCATTTATGGTAAATAGATAAATTTATTTGGGTCAATTGAGGTAATCATGGGTTCTCTTTATTTTGGATGTTTTATTTCATGCTGTTGTAAGCCTTTGAGAATCTCATAGATTGGATAGCATACATAGTTATTGAGAGAAAAGAGAAGTCTGTCTTCCTTCCTTCCTTCCTTCCTTCCTTCCTTCCTTCCTTCCTTCCTTCCTTCCTTCCTTCCTTCCTTCCTTCCCTCCCTCCCTCCCTCCCTCCCAAATTCACACAAGGTTGAGAAACGCTGTTCTCTAAGAAGGTTGGCCTGGATTGTCCGGAGCCACCTTTGATTTCTCTGCCCTGCCAGGAATTCTGGGAGTTGTAGTCTATACACATCTTAAAATTGCCAAGGCCGAGAAACCGTTTCCTGCACGGAGTGAGAAAGTCCAAGCACCTGACTGTAAAGAACGACAATTCAACTATTCATTTTGGCAGAAGTTCACCCAGACTGGATCACCAACGGCCCCGCATGAAATATGCCAGCGTTTGACTAGCTGGGGAATTCTGGGAGTTGAAGTCCACCGGCCTTAAATTTGCCACGGTTGAGAAACACTGAAATGTGGTCATCTGTGATTCCCTCCTGAAGGACCTCTGTTTTTCTGTGCCCAAAATGTCAGCCTTGTGAAAACCTCTCATCTCCCCCTTTTTTTTTTTGCATTTTTAAAAAATCTTTTCCTGCTGTAGATTAAATACGGCGACACGGCTACCTCGGAGGGGATTTTATTCGCCACTTATTCCGCCTTGATCGGTGAGAGCCAAGCGGGCGGCCAGCACAGGACCAGATTGAACCAGATTCTGGATTGGTGCAAGGACGATTTTGATGGTGTTGTATCCTAACAGAAAGAAGCCAGCGGGTCTCTGTGGGCATTGTGGCTTTGATTAATACACAAACTGCCGGTAGTCCTCTACTTATAACCGTTGGTTTAGTGACCGTTTGAAGTTACAACGGCACTGAAAAAAGTGACTTATGACCATTTTTCACACGACCGTTGCAGCATCCCTATGGTCACGTGATCAAAATTCGGACATGTGACAGCTGACTCAAATTTATGATGGGTGTCCCAGGATCGTGTGATCACGTTTTGAAAACTTCTGACAAGGCTAACGGGGAAGTCAGTTTCACTTAACAACCGTATTACTTAACAACCGCAGCGATTCCCTTAACAACTGTGGCCAGAAAGATCATGAAATGGGGCAAGACTCACTTAATGACTGTCTTGCTTAGCAGCATAAATGTTGGGCTGAATTGTGGTCGTAAGTCAAGGACTACCTGTACTTTGATCCTCCTTTTGGTGGCTTACAGAGTATAATTGTTGGATTTATCAACTGCTTTAACTTTTCTTACAGCCTTGCAACTGGGGATATTTTTCCTCCCCCCCCCCCCCGCCCTCAAATAAGGCTATTCTGGGCAGATCTTCACTTTTACTCTTGTGGCTGCCATCTTGACTTTTTTGAGCACACCTGCAGACAGCCCTGCCCATGGTCGTAATTTACTCCCCCCTCCCGTGCCTTCAGAACTTTTAATAACAACAACAACATAATAATAATAAAAAGTTGGAAGGGACCTTGGAGGTCATCTAGTCCAACCCCCTGCTCAGGGAGGAAACCCTATACCATTTCAGACAAATGGCTGTCCAGTCTCTTCTTAAAAACTTCCAGTGTTGGAGCATTCACCGCCTCTGGAGGCAGGTTGTTCCACTGGTTAATTGTTCTCACTGTTAGGAAGTTTCTCCTTAGTTCCAGGCTGCTTCTCTCTTTGGTTAATTTCCATCCGTTGCTTCCTGTCCTGCCTTCAGGCACTTTGGAAAATAGCTTGACTCCCTCTTCTTTGTGGCAGCCCCTGAGATATTGGAACACTGCTATCATGTCTCCCCTCGTCCGTCTCTTCATTAAACTAGACATATCCAATTCCAGCAACCGTTCCTTATATGCTTTAGCCTCCAGTCCCCTGAACATCTTTGTTGCTCTTCTCTGCACTCTTTCTAGACTAGTCTCAACATCTTTTTATATCGTGGTGACCAAAACTGGATGCAGTATTGCAAGTGTGGCCTTTTGTTTTCCTTTGTCGTATACATACCCCTCTGTTTGCCAGGATCCTCCCCCCCTTTTTTAAATTGTCTCTCCTTAACGAGCCTTCTACTCTCAGATTGTGTTCGACGAATGCCACAAAGCCAAAAATGCCACCTCTACCAAGATGGGCAAAGCAGTATTGGACCTGCAGAAAAATCTGCCTCAGGCAAGGGTCGTCTACGCCAGTGCCACAGGTGAGCGATGTGCGTTGCACCGAGCACATTAGCAGGGAGGTGTCCATAGCCGGAGCATTTGGGAGTAGACTATTTGTCAGAGCATGCACAGTCTTATTGCGCTGAGGTAACCCAGGAGTAAATACAGTAAATAGTGGTCTGTATTAAATGGTAGTTTATGTTACACTATCTACAAATATACACTAGAAACAAGATACATACACGTGGTGATACAGCAAACTCCAATACACAGCAATTACAGCAGGACATGGATGAGAGAGAAAGACTCCAGCAAGGTCTTCCCTTTTATACTCAAGCTCTTAAAGGGATACAGACTCCTGCTGAGTCATTCCTAACATTGCATCATTTATCTCACATTATACAAGCTGGGTTAGCTTCTAAATCATTACTTTGACACTTTCTGCATGTCGAAGTTCCATTCCTAACTATCAGGGCAGCATGAACCCAGTTGGAGAAGGCCAACCTCATCCAGCATTTTGCTTCCATGCGAGCTTCCTGTTTAACACACCTTTTTTTCCCCAGGTTTGTGTAGCCAGGCTAGCTCTGAACATCCATTTCCAGGGTACAAAGGATGTTGTCTTTAGACTTTCCAGAAAGTGAGACACATTTCTCTACTCCGGACCATGTGGGAGGGCTGTGGTTCCCAAAATGGTGAAAAGACAGAGAAGGGTGGGAGAATGGAAAATGGACCCAAGGGGTAACCTGAAGTTAGGAGGGTGTAGATAGAAAGATGGATGGATGGAGTAGAGTAGAGTAGAGTACAGTAGAGTTTCTCAATCTCAGCAACTTTTTGTGAACTCCAACTCCCAGAATTCATCAGACAGCATGAGAGTAGGTAGAAAGGATGTCCACACATCTTAAAGTTACC